GGATGGAAAGCTCAGCCAAAGAGGACTACTTTGTGGCTCCCTGTTATGCACATTAATTCCTCCCCCATGAGACTTAATCCTATTCCTAGGAATACTGTTATAATAGGCATTTCCAAGACAGACAGCTGACCTGGCAGAAATGAGCTCATATCAAAAGATCAGGATATTGTCCTCTTCAAACCTTAACAACTTACTCTCCAGTCCTTAAGCAGTATCAAAAGCATACTTTGTTTTAACAGCATACAGATGGTCCTCGCTGGTCTGCACAGAAAGGACCCAGACCAGTGCTAAACCATGCAGTTTCCACCTCTCACCAACAGAGCTGTGGGGCTTTTGGGGATGCAGTTCTGATTTGAGGGGTCAGTATCCTGACTCATAGCATTATCTCCACCATATAACTTCCCAGGTGTCATGGAAACCATGACACCAGGAACAGCCAGGACTGCTTACTGCATCAGGTCTCATTGAATCACAATCTACCCTGCCAATATATTCACTTGTTTTCTCAGTTCTGCTGCTGCTAAGGCAATAGCTGTTCCAGGAACTGATTTTATCTGTAGGAGTAACTCAGTACTTTCCAGCTACACATCATCCTCAGCAGTGCTATGGCCATAAAAGTTCTGGGAAATACCAAAACGAAACATTGTTCAAGGAAGAAACTATTCATAATACCTCCATTTCTGCATTTCTTCTACAAAATGGATTTGGGGGTACAGCTGGACCACGAAATGATACAATCATCCTCTGACCAGACTTGAACCACTATCTTGCATGAATTAAAATCTCTGTATGCAGGTAAGTCACTTATTACATAGAAGAGTAAGAACATACTTGGCTAATGGTCTCAGCCATATACACTAGCTGAGAAAATAAAAGTCTTCATCTTCCAAACCCTCTCAAACAGGTAGTCAAAACCTAGCACTGCCACCTTTTGCTTTGCAAAACCTGGGAGAACAGTTTCTGTTTGGTGCTCAGAAAGAGCATGCAACACTCCCTTCACAATGCTCTTGCTACAGAAATCCTGGAGTTACAAGTTCCTGCTACACAGTGTCAAAAAGTTTGAGCCTCAGCACAAGCCCTGATGACACAGGCTATTGAGACATGCCTTTCAAAAGCTTGTAACATCCTACTGTACTGCAGTGTCTTTTGAAACTTTGCTATGCAAAGGAGGCAGTGGACTCTTCCCAAAGCAGACAGAAATTGCAGCATCATGTAACCCAAGCAAGTTTCTACTGCTTAGATGCATTTATCTACCCTATTCAGAAAAGTACATTCCATGACCTTTGGTCCACAAGGTTCATCTAACTCCAAAAAGGTGCATTACCCCACCTGGGAGAGGGGGAGGACAGGAACAAAGAGAGGATAGTTCCCTTTGCCCTCTACCCATGCCTTCCCAGGAGATGGGAGCACCACCGCAAGCTTGACACCAGCATGGCATCTTGTACAAAGGTTGCACAGAGCATTCCGGGGACAGCTGACTTGTGCTCCACAAGTCAATAGTTGAGGCAGTTTTACTTTTGGTGCCAGATCTCCCAGGGGATTTAAGCATGCTTCATAAAACCAGCAAGGAAGAGACTAGCTCCCTTCTTGGCCAGTAGACTTTGGGCATTCATAAAGGCCCACGTCTACCAGGTGCTACAGCAAACCAGTTTGAAGTCCTCTATGTCAGCTTTCTTCTTCCCTCCATCCACATTTCCAAAAACTATGCATGTTCCAGCAACCAAGCAGCAAGACATTTTTACTTAATCTAATCCTTCCACCTATTCTCAGGCACCTGAAATAAAGGCACTATCATCAAAGCCAAAATTTGTACTTTGATCAAGTGAAAAGTTTGTTTATACCCAGTTTGGAAAACAAAAGAGACAACACATGCAACAATGTGAGTAATTTCCCTTCCTTCCTGCTAGCTAGGGATTTGCACCATCCATCGCTGGTTCCTTTGCTAAAGAACAGCTTTATGCCACAAAGAGCTATCACAATGTATGGCAACCCATCCCACAGAGGGGAAAATACTGTGTTTGTGTATTAGAGATCAAAAAGCATGAAACGAAATTATAAGCCATAGCCTCCATTCTACTCGGGAGATAAGCAAAAAGCAGACTGGCAGGTCTTTTGGATTTATCACTTATCAGTAACACAAATCTAAGTGGCTTCTCCCAGCTTGGGAGCTGGTGCTAAGCAGACAGTCTTGAGTACCTTGGTGCAGACCTAAGTCTTTAGCAGGGATTCCTGAAGCAGTATTGGAGAATGAGTATAAATCACCAGGCTCATGAACAGATTAAAAATAGTTCTGCAGCTGGGGCTACCCACTGAACTAACATGTAAAGTTAGAAAGCAGCACGATCACAGAAACTACAAACACCACCACAGGTCTGATTTTGAAATTTTGATATTCCAACTACTCAGGACAAAGAATCTTGGATATGCACACAAGGCACAGTCTGAAGATACCACACTTCACTAGGCAAGGAAAACATATCAACCTCTCCCTGAGGTTTCCCACCTATACAAAATGCCCAAAAGACCAATTTCTCTTATGCATCACTAAGCAATTCCCACATATATAGGACCTATGCCATACTTGAGAAAGATCCAGTTAGACCTCAGAGGCAAAAATCACACATTATTTACAACAGATGTCAAAAACACTTCTTTCCAGATAAGCCAAGCTTGACATATTGTTTCATGAAAGCACATCTAGAGATACTTTGTTAGGATCAATCACAATTCAAGTTATTTGGAACTTCAGGGACTTCCCCTGTTTCCCTAACAGATGGAGCTTTGCCTTTCACCCCGTTTATCACCTTTATATCACTTCTGGCTTAACAGCAATGCTTGACAATTGTTCAGAAGAGGAGAGAATTACTGACGATGACTGAAATGTGCAGTCATATGGAGTTAGATCACTAGTGTTGCCCTATTTAAAGGCACTGCCAGGTCATGTTCAGAGCAAAAGTTTATATGCTAGTTTAGGTGAGCGCTGCTCCTTGGAGGCTCTCCAAACCTCAGTAACCACAGAAAGATTTCATAGCACCTCCCACACAATGCTACATGGTTTAATGCAGCAAAATCTACATGCCAATTATTGGGTTGTTTTGTGTGAGGAGGAAAGGAAACCACCACCACCAAGAGGAAAAACCATTTCTGAATGAGGGCAAAGGGTCCTCTGTGGTCTCCCATGCCATCTTTTACTCATTCTAATGGAACATCCTTGTCACTGCTCCAAGCAGCTTTCCAAATTCTTCTGCACACATGAATTGTATAGCAAGTCCTTCCTGGTGGACAGGTAGCCAGAGAACAATAAAGAGTCCAGCTTTACAGGAAAACACCAAGGTCATCAGCAACAGAAATGCCAAGCAGCTTCTTCTACACCAGCTTTACAAACTGTTACTTTAAGGTAAGCTCTGAATACAGCTGCTGTTCTTTTTTTAATAGCATTTGCTTATCAACAGTATCAGAAATCCCAGTGTTCACATGCTATGAAATTGAAAGCAGTTTCAGATCAGGATTGTTGACCAGAAAAATGCTGCATTAATTAGTGATGCAACCCCAGCAGATGGTAACCCCCAGCTCTGCCAATCTTACTTATATGCAAGGAGCCTTGATTATTAAATCTGTGGAAAACGTACATAATGGCCTTCATAGGACTGGGGTCTAGGTTAATACAGCCCAGGGATTTACTTCAAGATTATGCAGCAGATTTGCTAAAATACTATTCCGAAAGCCAGTCCAAGCCCTG